CTTCACCCCCTTTTCTATTAACTGGCCTTGTGGCTCAGCAATGATCAGAAATATAACAATTTGATTACGGCGGTGTGCCGGAGTAGTGCGAGTTTATTCTTCAAACTTCAATACAAAACTGATTTTTAGCTACATAGAATATTTCACTTAAGCTAAGCCAAAACTCGCATCACACCACAATGTCATGGTCGGCAAGCCGACTCAGCAATCTTAGGCAATAACGGAAACTCTTGCAGTAAACAAAAGTATCTGGTTACCACCGCTGACCATTGCAGTTATAGCGCGCTGATACAAAGTATGCAGTGTCGCAATTGCGAGGGCTGTTTCTTAACTTACGAAACACGCGATAGCGAGGGTTGATTATAAACTTATGAAATACCCTATATTAAATGTTATGTGTTAACTTACACAAGCCAATATTAATGGGACTTCCCTTTTTAAATGTATTCCGAGCAAAAAGAAAACTGTTAAAATACTGAGTAGATTACGCAGTTCTGTCAACGTAAACTTACAGTTCATTTGTGACGTCACAAATCATAGCCTGTTATCCCATTTGAAGTTTGGCGGTCACTTAATTAATTGTTAGAGTAAAGTATAAAGACAGAGATATTCTGCCTGCAACAGCCCCAGATATCATTATGCATATGATTGAGATAATGAGTCTTTTAACAGGGCGCATTCGATCACACAAACTGTAATCGCAACTAATGCGCCAAAATGAGTCGACGATCGATACGCCGATATACGCCATATTTCATTTGGCACTGGATGAATATGTTTGTATGTAATAGTATGATATATATAATTATTATATATATATATGTACACATATTTCCGTCACGAGCTAAGTACTTGCATGCCCCAATTCCAGTGGATTATTCAACTATTTGGCTGATAAAAAATAAAAAGTTTGTTTTATTTAAAACAAGTTATGATACATTTTTTAAATTCAATATAAAAGTTATAGAACTATTCAATCCTTATATTGATCGTTTATAAATTGAATGTACTCGTCGTGGAGAAAAGAATAGTCGTTGGGACCCTCATGACGCTCATACGAAATACAATTATTCCTCGTACGAAAGACATAGGTTGTGTATGGACAGTTGTCGTCAGCCATCAGATCCTTGATCTTGCAGAGAACACTGTGCAGTAATTGTTGACGCTTGATGAATTTGGACTTATGTTTCTGCAATTACAAAATCATGTATAGCTATAGAATTTACATAAATAATTGTTAAAATGTTTACCTTTAGTAGGTCGGCAATTTGAATCGTTTCAATCGGCCTTGTTACCATAGCTGAATCGTTGAAGTGCGCCAATCTGAACTGTCTAATGCCAGCCAAATGGGCTCAACAGACTTCTCACGATAGTAGTCGAATCCATTTTTGATTTTACGAACTTTGACCATGGTAAAACACAGCTGCTTCACCACATCGGGATCGTTTCTATTTTTGTCAGTTATTTATTAGAAATCTCTTTGATAGTTTGAAATTGCTTACAAATCGCCAACCGGTTCCGTATTATCCACGCCAGCCATCTCAGCCGAGTACAGTATATTAAACAAGCCTAGATTCGCACTGAAGTTTGCATAGATTTGCTTCCGTTGATCAATGGGTAACTCCAAATTGGGTAGACCACCTGGCGTATCTGGTGTAAATACATACAGTCTGTCAAGAAACACTTTACACAGTGGAAAAAATCTCAATTTTTTGACTTTATGTAAAAAAATAAAGAGTTTTTGTTTAATTTAACTAATTTTTTTTAATGGTTAACTGTTTAATAGGTATTTTTAAATCAAATTATAGAAAACAGAAACAAAAACAATAATGGTGAAACTTGAAAAACAACAAAAACTTAGATTACTCATATTTTACACTGTCAAGAAACTCTTTACACATTTTGTTCTCTTCATCTGTTTTGCTCTGATTCTAAGAAATAACGGGGCTTTACCGTTAACTATGCCTTTAGAATCTGTCTATGCATCTCTATTTTTGTGTTTATTTTTCACTTTGTGCGAAATTTGGCTGAGTACACATATAAAAGCAATACAAATTTTGATTAATAATGCCCGGAAAGAGATTAAGCTTCGATGTTGTCCAATTGATCTTCTACAATCGGCAGTTGGGCAAATCAGTTCCAGAATTAGTGGAAATGTTTTCTGTGTCAAGAAAAACCATATACAACGTTCTCAGTCGCGCGGAAAATGAGGGAAGACTTGAGGCAAAGGGTGTGGGTGGCCGAAAAAAAAAGATATCTGATCGGGCAAGCCGCCTTATGATGCGAAAGATCAAATCAAATCCCCAAATCTCGACCAGAACGAAAATATATTTATACATTTATATATGCATATTTTCGTTAGTTTAACTTCTTTTTTCTATTTACGAAATTGAATTTTCTAGGAAAGCCAATTCGCAAGAATATTCAATCATATAATGGCAGAAAAAAAGATTCTTGCTTACTATAAAGACATAGTAAGTGATGAAATTGTGCAACTAAAAAATATTAAAGTGCACAATGTGACGACGTTTGATGTGGATGAACGGATTTTAAAAGTACCACAAAACATTGGCTTTTATCGTCAGCCCAAACCGGAAGAATATCCAATAGACTTGGCCAGGGGGTTTCCAGACATGATCTTCAGCACAGCTGATCCCAGCCATTATCAAGAGCAAAAAACGTTGCATTACATCATGACACTAAAACAAAGACCGCAATTTAATATTTGCACAACCCGTGGCGCTTTATCAGATATCGATTATGACTACAATACAGATTTGGCGGTCATCAATTTTAAGGATTGTATATATATTAAAAGTATTTATCCTGCAGAAAGCCCCTCACCACGTCAAAGTTATCAATTTGAGCTACGCAAGAATCTTTTTGTCGGTAAGTGGCGAAAGATCTCAAAATCCCAACATACATACTAACACGTGGATATACAGTCTGTCAAGAAACACATATATATATATACTATATATACACAGTAGTGGCAATCCGATACCGACAGCGTACGAATAACTTAACAAACTGAACTTAGCGGCAAATGAATTACTGCGTATATAGGCGTATCGATCGTTGACTCATTTTGGCGCATATGTTGCGATTACAGTTTGTGTGAGCGCATTCATTTTGATCGAATGCGCACTGTTAAAAGACTCATTGTCTCAATCATGCACATAATGATATCTAAGGCTGTTGCAGACAGATTATCTCTGTCTTTATACTTTACTCTAACAATTAATTAAGTGACCGCCGAACTTCAAATGGGATAACAGGCTATGATTTGTGACGTCACAAATGAACTGTAAGTTTACGTTGACAGAACTGCGTAATCTACTCAGTATTTTAACAGTTTTCTTTTTGCTCGGAATACATTTAAAAAGGGAAGTCCCATTAATATTGGCTTGTGTACATATTTATACATCGATTATTCTTAAATGACTCGGAGATGAATTTTTATACTAAAAATAACATAAAGATTAAATTTATATAAAGATATATATAAATAAATTAATAAATAAATATATATATATATATGTATGTATGTATATATGTATATGTATATACATATACGACTGATTAAAATGTATATATGTTTAGCAAAGTAAAAGTGCTCAGCTGAAAACATATTTATTAAGAAACCAAAATACGCCCGTACAGTTAGAGGTAATTAACCTAAAGGAAGTTTCCCATACAAATTTGTTTTCTTTTCAAAAAACTGGCGACTATTTGGTATTTTGGTATTTTTAACTATGTGGCAGCACCGGTCACACATTTCCAGAAAGCAGCGCAACAAATTGTTATTACCAAAGCTATTTACATGAGTTAAGCATCTATCATGTCGCGTTCCCAAGCGGCTGAAGATTCAAGAAGCAGATGTAACTACTGCCAGGCTGCCATAGAGGATGACAACTATTTGGATTGCCAGAAATGTGAGCAGAGCGTGCATATAAAGTGTTTGCCACATGCCAGCACGCCTGGAGATCTACTAGGCGATGTATTCTTCGATTTCACGTGCATCAAATGTGTGCGAAAAGAGTCTATTGCAAGTGAAGAAGGACCAAGGGAACGCTTTGTCCGACAGCGCATACCGTGGTTGTTAGTGTTGACTCTGGCGCTTTATAACTTATCACTGAAATCGAAAGGCTTGAGCCATCATGGCTATTTTCATTGGCGGACGCACATCATCAGCTTTGTAGACAAAAATTGGAACTACATTTTTGAGCCACGTGTGTGAGTAAATTCAGTTAGTAGCAGACAAAAATCAACGTATAATTGATTACTATTCCTAACAGACGTCGTCGCAAGCAATGGGCAGGTTCTGTTTCAGGCGCTTTGTCGCACAACAGCCCAGAATACTTTCAATCATGCACATAATGATATCTAAGGCTGTTGCAGACAGATTATCTCTGTCTTTATACTTTACTCTAACAATTAATTAAGTGACCGCCAAACTTCAAATGGGATAACAGGCTATGACAATGTGACGTCACAAATGAACTGTTAGTTAACGTTGCAAGTAATAAAACTGCGTAATCTTCTTAGTGTTTTAACAGTGGTTTGTTGCTCGGTATACATTGAAAATGGGAAGTCCCTAATATTGGCTTTTGTACATATTTAGAAGTCATACGTAGTTTTCTTTTGCGACTATAGATATATATATATATATATATATATATATATATATATATATATATATATATATATATATATATATATATAGATATATATATATATATATATATATATATATATATATATAGATATATATATATATATATATATATATATATATATCTAGTTCATTCATCTAGGTGTTTCATATTTATTTGTTTTCATGTATATTTGTTTAGCCCACAAAATATTTTTGCAACTTGAAACAATTACATGCACATTTTGTTCATATCTTTTAGGCATTTAGCTTTTAGTTATTTATTCATCCAAAATAAGTCATAAGTTACTATAAAAATTCCAAATATATGTAATAGTTAATATGAGTAAACGAATTTGATAATATAGGTGAGGAAAACTGGGTAGAAAGACAACAGTTGAATAATTTTGATAGTTTCCGCAAATTACTTAGGACACTCGCCTTCTGCTAACTCTCATAGTTATTTAACTAATATTATGACGCGTTATCACTTAATTGACTTAATGAATTGTCTAGTGCAATTGGTGCGTCAACTTGGGTATTGACGAAGTTGCGATCGAGACCCTCAAAGAACTTTAAGCCCGTCGCGTTCTCTATGTCTCGCACATCACATAGCAGTGTCCGCAAATCTGTGTCATCATTGAGCGCTGTATTGGGCAATACATAGGCCTCCGCATACGGTATGCTGTTGACTTCCTTTGTATCGATAATGATTATCTTGAAGAAGTGTGTGGGTATGGCAACAACGGTATTGTCCTCTGGCTGAAATTCCAAATACCAATTGTTGCTCTTCATTTCACGTGGCAAATAGATGGATCCGGTGTACACAAAAACAATATCATACTTTTCAGTCATGCTGTGTACGTAGTGCAGCAATCTCTCCCAGATGGCGGCATTGAAGCCACGATTCTGAAACGGTTTAATGTTCGACATGAAGAAAACACGTGCCGCTTCCGATTGTTGATACAAGATGCCTGGCGGCGTCGTAGTACTTGACCGATGCTTCACCGAAAGATCTCGATACTCCCGTCCAATTGCATTTGCATAGCTAGAGACGTCCACACGCTCACACATCCATTGAATGGACGAGTTACGGCGATCGAACGATGTGACAAAATTGAAAGTCTCATTTAGGCTAATCTCGTTCATGCTTGGGAATCCATACTTCATAATGGAGCCCATCTTGTGCGAGCCGTTATCGACATTAACATCGCTGCATTCATTGATCGCCTTTACTTCAAAGATATCTAGCTGAAATATAAATCTCAATTAGAACTTCCCGAAATCCGCTGCTATTAGGCACTTTACCAGTCCGTAGAGTTTGCGTCGTATAAAATACGCATGTGGATTGCGTTGTTCCAATCTCTTAATATTACGGATCACATGTTTGTGGTGGTAGTAGGCGCCTAAAGCAAAGAACGTGCCGGCTGTGGCAGCAACAATAGCCAGTTTACTACTTAACGGCATGTCCATGTCCACATTTCCACCAGCGAGTCCAGAGCTAAGAAATTTACAAACTGAAACGAAAAACAAAACTAAAATTTTTCGATTAGAATTTAAGGCGTGTTTAATAATTTCTCCAATGGAAATTTCAATTGAGAGTTGTAAAACAAAGTGATGTAGGCGCCTGTTGTATCAAAGAGTATTGACTTGATTGACTGAAATCAAATCCACAAACATTTGTCCAAGCAAGTTTGACAACAGTCCTGCAAGCAGCACGCCAATAGATCGTACTCCTGTCAATAAGAGTAAGTAAACGATCAATTCTTAATGCTAACAGGGAATATAATTTTAGTTAAGGTATCTTAGTTCGTATTAGGTGGCAATGCAGCTCTGTCAATTGCTTGACTGTTAGCATAGTTTAAAAGTTTTGAAAAACTTAGCTGATTAAAGAAAGGCAAAGTCTGAGCTCAAGCCACTAATTGGATAGGCTAACAATTTGATTAATAAGAATGATTTTTGAGAATGAACACAGTTGAGGTAAGTATATTGAATTGCCTCTAAAGAACTGCCTTACGATACTTCTCTTCATTTCTTAGTCGAATGTATTTTCCTCTTTCGGCAAAGATATTTTCTCAGCCAATTGAAGAATTCTAAAAAAAGTATTATCCAAGAATGATATAATGGTCAAACTATCTCGAACGCCATATAGAACTTGATATTCTAGTTGTATTTTATTAATAAATGTATAAAAAATATTTTTAGACTAATTAACATGAGCTAAGCCATAAAATATTTAAATATTTATTTTAAACTTTTTCAATTTTATAAGCTTCATTATTAAAATTTAAATATAAATATTTAAATATAATTCTCTGTGGAACTATACATATTTCATAGTAGTATTAAAGAAAAACAATGTTATTAAAATTTAAAAAATATACTACAATTAAGTATCATTTTTTATTTGCTCAATTTATTTTCATTTAATTGAGCAAATCAAAAGATGATATTCAAATATAATATATTTTTTATAAATTTAATAACATTATTTTTTAGAATACTAGATAAAATGCAATGAAATATGAATAGTCTTATAAGGAATTATAAAGTATCGCTCCAACAGTAGCTTTAGCCTCATTTTACTAATTCTTTATTTATATTTTTAGATGTATTTTGTTATATTTAATCTCGACATTAATTAAGCAAGTGATTTGTGCTGAAGTTGTGATTCGCTACTTGTGACCACTTGGCAAATGTTAAAAGTTTTCGTGCAACATAATTCTTTGGAGCAAGTCTTAGCCGTGGAGATATAGTGCTGCCAACACTTTTACTGTGCAGTTGCCAACTGCATTAAGTCAATCAGAAAAGTTGCAGTTACCGTAACCGGAAAATCCAAAGAGCGAAGCCTTTGTCTTGCCCTCTTCTCCTCCGCCGCCACCACGGGGAAGTTTATAATAAGCGACCAGTGCAACGGCTGAATAAACCAAAAAAGCGGCATTAAGATTTATTCGCCAAATCTCGTCGCATTTTGTTATGCTTAAAAATGTTAGTTACGGTTTTATAGTTTTAGGGTTCAAGTCCAAAACTTTTTGCGTTGCGCCCATTGTGAAAAGTTTTGCCATTGACAGCAAGAGAGAAAAGTACAAAAGGATGTAAACCAACAAAAGGCAGAGTTGGCAACTCAGGCATGTGAATGATTTGCCTATTGTTCAAATTCCAAAATATCTTATAATTTTAATAAAGTATCAGATTTTGTCGAGATCGGCTTGAGGTGTAGTATTTATATATATATATATATATATATATATATATATCTTCAGAAATATATTCGGTTCGATTTGTAAGCTTGATATGCCTCGACCATACAAGAGCACTCTAAAAGGAATATCTAAAGTCCATATACATAAGGAAGTAGTGTTATTTACGACTAGATAATCCTTTCCAATAGTTGGTTAACAACTCTAGCTGTGACCCTAAATAAGGTCACGCGCTTAACGGTTACTTTTCAATTTGAGATTTATTTTTTTTGCTTGAAATATAATTTATAGTCGAATGCTTTTAATGACAAACGACTTTTGGGTGTAAGTAAAGCCCTAAGCTCCCACTGCTGCTGCTGCTCCTGCTGCCGCCCGAATGCCAGCTTCCGACCCCTGTTTGCCCACTTGTCAGTAGCACAAAGGAGCTGCGGGCAAAAGTTTTGTGACACTCGAGCGAACAAAGTTAAGAGTAAAATGCGCAAAAGTGCAGTAAATTTTTCGGGGGTACGAAACAAAGTTATTTTAATTCGCTGAGAGGCCGCACAAGTGGGTCTACCACTTGGGCATCCAAGTGCTCAATAAGTGTGTCCTGTAAGGCCCAGCCGCGGGCTTGCCAATTAATTCCTGTAGTCTAATTGCTGTTGCTCCCCAATTCATTAGCGCGGGCGTCAAACGAACTCAGTCTTGGGCCGCATCGGCTTATTGATTGACGCCTGAAGCTTCGCTAAGCGTCGGAGGCAGTCGCTCGCCTTAACTGCTCAAATGCTCAACTGCTCAAGGGTTTTTGCGGATTTTCTAATCAACGAACCTCACGAAATTTGCATAATTGAAATGCCGCCTCACGTTTGCCAGGTGTGCCATTTCTGTGTGTGTGTTTGTGTGTGTGCGTGACCAAAGTGCTAAAAACTTGCCACGCCCACTTGGCAGCAACAACGTCCTCGACAACTCGTGTTCAGCATCTGAGCGATTGACTTGCTAAGTGCCTGAAATTTGTCGCTTCATTTGGTGTCTCATAAATAAATTATTATGCTCCGGCACCCATAATCAGGTGTCCCACAAATCTGATTTGAGCCAAGCAATTAGCCGATAACAGAGAGTCCCTGGGTGGAATTTCCTACTAATTATTTGTTACCCTCGGGCGCACAACTTGCATCAACTGGCGTCAAACTTTTGAATTTATCGTCGCATGAGTTATTACTGAGTATTTATTGCACAACTTTTTAAAAAAGTCTTAGCATATAAGATCAGGGTCAAATTACGACAAATACCTCAAAGAATAAAACCAAATTCTAAATCAAAAACCAAATTTTAAATCAAAAACCAAATTTTAAACCAAAAACCAAATTTTAAATCAAACTACTTTTGATAATAAGAGAATAATAGAATTTTTAAATTAAATTAATTGACTTACAGATTTTCTCTAGAGACAAAGAGGAGTATATTAGAATCCGTTCAGCTTATCAATGTCATCTTAAACCTTCTTTATTCGGATATAATTTAATATCTGTATTCTAATTTTATTAAAAAATTATAATTAAGAAATGTTTTCATTTGATAAATAATTGCAAAACTTATTAATCATAAAAATGATATTCAGGTCTTACAAAAAATGCGTTTGGATCTGTCTGGATATGTGTCCGACTATCGCATATAATTTTGAAGTATTATTTCTTTGGCTCCTCTAAACTGAAAAAAGCGTTTCAAATCTAGGCTATATTATATTTATAGGGCTTTTGAACAAATAAGAGTACCAAAAAAATATTAAAAAATTAATTTATATTGTGGAATACGTTTTAATATCTCTTAGAACAATAAACACAAACACAAAATAAAATAATTATGGTGGCACACAAGAGGGATCTGCATATCTATTACATATTTAATTCAAATTCACTTTAATCATAAACGAAATTCAAGTTCAACTACTAATTTAAGCACTCCCTCCCTCCCTTCCTCTCATTTAGTCTCTCTTACTCCCACATAATAACGAGATTAAATAGAACTGTTTGTAGCTATTAAATAATTAACGCCGATGTTAAATAGCCGGCGCTCTCTTCACTCGTTTCGCTGTCTGTTATCTCCAGAGCTCTGGCGCAGAGAGAGCAGACATGAAGTTCCCGATCAGTTCGAACTAGAGATCTGATCGTGAACGTGATCGTGTTGCTGTCTTGCTTCGATAGCACGATGCAAATCGAAGAAGTTGTATATGAAAAGAATATAATAAATAGAAAAGTAAATGTAGCAATACTGAAGCATTTAGATCGATTCACATTGATTAGATGGACTTACGTACGAGCGTACCTAAATACAAGCAGAGTCTAATTAACTCGGCTATTTATCTTGATCAGAAATATATATATATATATATATAAATATATATATATATATATATATATATATGTATATATATATGTATATGAATTTATTTTGTTTTTACCATGCTAAAAAATTTGTAGCATATTTTTCGTGTCTCGCAATTTGAGCTCACGTCCATCGCTAGCCGAAAGTGTTAATTCCAGTTTCGTGCGCTCGGAGCTGATCAGCCAGCCAGTCAGTTGGTCAGACGTTAGTTGAGAATACACCATTGAGCGCTACGGAGCTAAATTGGATTCTGTCTAAGTGTGTGCGTGTCTGATCTATGGGACAACGCACGAAGACGAGAGCTCGCGCATCATTTCTATAACTATTCAAGTGTTACAAACAAATAGTCATGCAATTGTTTACAATCTTAGTTGTAGCTACAGCTGCTCTTAGCGTAGTTCGTGGTGCGTATATTATATTTTGTTTATCCCTATTTATAGTTATATATATATGTCTGTAAACAATTAGCGGCACCATCGAATGAAGCTTCCCCTATAGATTTACCTGAGGAAAATCACTGCGATCACAAGCTAACCAAGTCGAATAAATATTTAGACTATCCGTTTTGGAAAAAGTTCTTCAAGCATTTGGTACCTTTTACCAGCAGCTCACGTTCCAAAATGCAATTTTTTCTATTCAAACGGGACTTTCCTGACTGCGGCCGTGAACTGTTTGTCAGCGATGATGAGACCTTGGAGCGTTCCGGTTTCGATGCACGTCATCCCACAAGGTAAGTGATGTTACATGGGATTTTCTGATAAGATATTGGGGAAAACGTTAGTAAATTGTGTATTCTGTTTGCTTGGCAGTCGTATATTAGGTGCTATACTTATGTGTAATTAGTTCTCTACGATAATTCTCATTGTAAAAATATATTTTGCCTCATTTTGGTAATAGTTTCGCTTGATGCAAAATTAAATTTCCATTAGACCAAATGAATTGTTATTAGTTAGTTTATGTTTTATTTTTATTTATATTTATTCAAATGTAAAAACTGGTTTGCTGTTTTTATCAGCACATGGTAACAGCACAATCATGGGTATATTCGTTTGGCGACTTAGCATGTTGAGAGTTAGGAAACTTTCGTTTTTATCAATTTTATAGATAAAGAGACTGACTAAGTTAGTTATTATACGTTTGTATATGAAATAAATTATAGTTTTCTTTTTAAATAAATTTAAAAGATTGATTCGATTAGTTGTTTGTGTATTTGTAATACCAAGAACCCACTGAAAATGGACGAGGCTTAGAGTAGGAGACCTGGTCAACTTACACATATATAAACATATATATATTAGAATATGTGATAATATAAAAATCTGTTCACATTCTTATTCATCATCTCGGCACGTGGTTAAAGTTAACTGTCGGACACACAAAGCTCACAGAAAGATTTTTAATAGATTTGTATTACATTGCCCCAATATAAAGGGTATGTAATAGTCGACTACTTATAAGATTGCGCATTTCATTGTATTTTTTTGCCGCTCTTTCGTGTTGTTTTGGAGCGCTTATCAATGAGTCATAAAACAGTTGCTTCGAAGTTGAGCCACTCTCAATGAAGTAAAATGTTTTATAATGTTGTGCACAAATTATTAGCATGAAAATTGAAAATTAAACATTTTAACACTAATATAAATAAGATAAGATAGGCAATACAGTCTATTTGACTGTTACAAATCATTCCCCCATATCGATTTAATTGAATTTGTATTATTTTCAGAATTATTATACACGGCTGGATGAGTCAGGGCAAGGGATCATTGAATCGGGATGTGAAGACCGCATATCTCAGCCTAACGAAGCCCCAGCCAAATGATAAAGATGACGCAATGGGTGAGCCGAAAATGAGGGCGCCCCTTTATGAGGACTTCAATATCATTGTTTGTGATTGGAGCAAAATATCGTCGAATGTTAACTACTTTGGAGTGGCCGAAATGGTTGAAGATCTGGGCTTTTTGCTGGCCGAGTTTGTGCGTTATCTTCATATGCGTGCGAGCCTACAATTCGACGATGTCTACCTCATTGGACACTCGTTGGGCGCCCAGATTGCGGGCAGCGCCGGCAAACAGATTAGCCCGCATCGCTTCAATACGATCTTTGCTCTGGATCCCGCGGGACCCGCGTTTCGGGAGCAGAGCGATGAATATCGCATAGATCCGAGCGATGCACATTATGTGGAGTCTATACATACGAGCACGGGTCTGGGCTTCGAACAGCCCGTGGGTCATGCCAGCTTCTATCCAAACTTTGGCAAAGATCAAAAGAAGTGCTATGTGTACGGCTGTTCGCATAAGCGCGCCCATGACTACTTTGCCGAGTCCATCAACAGCACTAAAGGCTTCTGGGGTATACGCTGTGAACGCTTGTCGAAAAAAACTTGGGTACTACTGGACAATGATGGGGAGTTTCGAATGGGCGGCGAACCCTCAGATCCAAAGAATGGCACCTTTTATGTCAAGACTTATGATAAAAAGCCCTATGCAATGGGCACCAGGCAAGCGCTGGCGGAGGCCTCCGCGGAGCCAGAGAGAATCACTGAGGTTTACTATTGAGTGAAGACACATTATTGAGATATATGCTAAAGCTAAGCTAACTCTGAAATATTGTTAAGAACCTTTTTTGGATTAGTATTTGCTCGAAATATTTTGAAACTTGTTCTTATCTAAAAATATTTCATTTATTAGCTCTAAGTATATATAAAAGTTTATTTCAATAATAGAAAATAAGATTCTGTACTCTAATTGAGTCTGCCGGACTCCGAGATAAGCGAAATCTTGCGCTGTTTCGAGCTGTAATTTTAAAAACCAATTGAAGTCTTTGATATTGATCAGTGTAAGGAAATGTGCCGATTGTCGAATACAAATAGTTATCGATACTGTTAACCATATTACATCGCTGCATTTATATGGAGCGAAAACTAACTTCAACATTCACTTACTTAAATAGAACTGAAATCAACACAGCTTTTATTAGTAATTCAAACTTTTCAGAAACTTGTAAAATACTTAATTTAAAAAATATAAAATGTTCTATATATTGTTATGCATCTGGTTGCTAAAAATGCTGTTGACATCGAGGGCATTCCCACTACCCAATTGGGATCCAAGCTATCTCGATGACGACATGGATTTTCCGGATATACTTAATGAAGAGGACTACGAGATGATGCTGAAACGCAGTATTAAATATCGTTATCCCTTTATGTACAACCCAATTCCAGCATATCAAGTCGTGTAAAAACTTTCATTAAAACTAACACACAATATGTGTGTGTTGGCCAAAATTGTTGCAGTTCTGCAAAGTTGTTAATGTATTTTATGCTGCTTAATTAGTTGACACTTAAATAATTCATACGCCACATGTGACCGAGCAAGCTAGACCCGGAGTCAGAGCAGGCGCCCGGGTGCAGGACCAGGAGCAGGAGTGTATCTCTTTCTCTCAATCTCAATTGCCCATCCAAAACATAATTTTCATTTAATTTAAGTTATATCGCATTCATATCAAGGTAACATATGAAAATTGGAAGAACTCGAGCTGTTTGTATAGCAGAGTTTACAAGAAAGTATATTTAAGCTGATGCCTATGATATTTGATACTATCTGGAATACATATGGACAGGACTGTCAAGGAGTGATCTTCAATAAGAACTTTATATGAAAAAAGAAAGTTACAGTTAAATTTCTTTATATCAGTTATATAATTTTCAAATTAACATCTATATATAGTCTTTGTCTGTAAATAAAGGGCAGCTAATTTCACTTATTAAACAGATTATTCTCCTATTAAATTTAGAAACCTTAAATATAATTTAAATATAATAGTTAATAGCGGTTTACAATTGACAGCTCCCTAATACCGATTATTTTGTGATGGCCTAAATGACAGCTCGAGATGCGTACGAAATGAATGATTGATTGGCATGTCCAGTCTCAAATGTGTATTCATTTGAAATTGCCAGAGCGAGAGCTTAATTTATGTAAACTGATTTTCCACTCTTGAGCTAAGTTTATGCACGGATCTGGGCAAGGACTAGCTTTCGATTATGTTAACGGCAATTGCTGATTGTGTATGTGTGTGTGCCCAAGATTTGAGGCAGGATTTGATTATTTAAATTTCATGGCCATTGCATATACATAATTTATGAACCGTGCCGCATCTACGGTAGCTGAGTGAGGTATTCTAATTAAGACATGAACGTAATTCTGCAAATGTCTCCCAGGTTTCCACTAGCCACAAGCAAACTAATGGCTATTATTACCAGCTCACATGTAGTCTTGTGGTATATGTGTACCCTATTCTCAGCTGTCCCTCTGGCTTGGCTTGCCCCAATCCAATTCTAACACGCTTTCCACCCAGTTCACTTGACTTCACCCAATGCAATTTACACTTTCCGCTCGGTGCACAGTTTGGAAACCTTTTCTCCTTATTTTTTGTTGTTTTTTTCTGTCCAATTTGTCGTACGGAAATGCTCCGTGTGGCAAACCTCGGAGCCATATAACTCACTTTTTTGTATGTGTGCGTACACGTAACCCACTTAAAAAGGGGTTCGCCAAAGGAAGAAGCAGCAGAAGAAGAAAAAATTAAAATAAAATCTGTAAAACTTAAGGGCAAATCATGTAAGAAAATTTGCACTCGCGTGAAACCGACTCCATGATACTCGTTCACGGTCCAAGAAACGTTTAAATATTTTCAAATAAAAGGCGAAGGGCCTAAGATACTTATACTATATTTTTTCCCCATGACACGGCCATTGCATAAAACCAACATTCCCTATACACTTCGTGAAGGAGTATTAAAAAAAGGTGCGTGCATAACCTCACAAATGAGACGCCGGATAAAACAACGACAATGACTCCACATCAATGTGAAACGACAAATACTTAAAGTTTTCGGATTGACAATGCGCCCACACACACAATCATAAAAGTTGATGCGCATCCGCACTTAGGTCAGCAGATACTTATGTATTTCGCAACTTGTATACAGATATACTATATACACATATGTAAGCCAATTTTATAGCATTTTTATGGCAGACAAGTTTGGAATTCTGTTGCTCTTGGCAAACCCTTCGCGCACTCATCCTGCTCCATAGCATTTAAAATATTTAAATTCGATATGCCTTTGGTTTCAGGTTAGGTATGTGCTCCAACTTTGGGGCTCCAAGGATTCAGGGCAATGTACTGAAAGTGTTTAGTAATATTATGTGATATCAGGCTTGCCACGTATAAGTATAATTATAAGTATAAGTATAAGTATAAGTATAAGTATAAATATAAGTATAAGTATGAGTATAAGTATAAGTATGAGTATAAGTATAAGTATCAGTATAAGTATCAGTATAAGTATAAGTATAAGTATCTGTCTAGTGTTTCAAATACTTCAATTGACTTTGCAACCCTGGTTGTAGATAAACTCCCCTTTGACATACAGTTAGTATTAAGTATAAGTGTAAGTATAAGCTTAAGTATGACTAGTATACAAATATGTCTATGTGTTTGCGTCTTGCTATAAACACACTTATATGTCCCATTTTGGGTCATGTCCATGTTTTGCGGTGTGATTTTGTGCAAAACTTAAATTATACAATTTGAGTGCCATGAATACATTTTTATGCCTCATTGCTGTTGTTGTTGCTGATGTTGCTGATGCTGCTGCTGAAAGGGACAATGAGTTGCTAAATGCTTTGAATATTCTTTTGGTCATTGCTCGAGCTGCATGCATAATATAAGTGCGATATGTTGCCAAGATACTTTTACTTCAACCACACACACACACACGCATACTTACACTTGTATACACTTGTATAAGAGCTTTTCCTGTGCTGACAGGTTGAGTATATGTCATGTGGTTATGTCCCGAAGAATATACTATATGGCCTACTGTTGCTGTCAGTGCAGGCAAGAGTTTTGGCTGCTGCAAGTAAAATGTTTGAAATATTTAAGATAAATGAAATTAAATTAAATCTTGAAGTATTACAGAAGGTGGGTATATAAGAGTATAAGAATCTTTCATTCATTCATTGTGAATGCTTTTAACTCAGCAAGCTTCTTCACTTACAACTTACAACTTTTGTGCAGTCGTGCATACCCAACTGCAATGCTCATACTTGACATTGCTTTTGTGTTTACTGTCTCTTGTGGTGAGTGAGGTTTGTGTATTTTTTATATTTTGTTTTGTGTCTTATAAAATGAATTAATGTGGTAGATTTTGTTCGTTGGCGCCCTTAATCGTAAGCCTCTTCAAGCACATAACAAAGTGCACACTTTGTTAACATTAAACATAAAGTCGGCAATAAAGCGATGGCGCCTGCTGCAAATGGTTGCTCCTAGCGCTTGTTGTTGTTGTTGTTATTGGCTTTACAACTTTTTCTTTATGCCCATGTGTACACACAGAGAGCGAGGGGGAGAGACAGAGAGTGAGTGTATGTTACATTGCATTGCACTCAAAATGGCGTTAAGCTCGTAACAAAAGCCAACGCGGCGCAACAAGCGCACAAAAAGGATAATAACAACAACAGGAAGCAAAAAGCTCAAGAGAGTGGGCTGTCGGGAGAGTGAGAGAGTTGAAGAGCTGGTCTCTGCAGCAGCTTTGCCTTAATTCAATTATGTGTGGTGTACACACTGGCCAGACGTGCAAATGCGAAAACAACAATGCAAACAACAACAGCCTTCTGGCCCCGGCTTAACTTTATTATAAATATTTTTTACTTTTTTTTTGCAAAAATTAAAAGCAAAAGGGGCAACTGGAACTGCACAGCCAGGAATTGCACTGTCCCACAAGTTGTTGCAGCGGCTTGGCCCATTATCATTGCCATTGTCGTCGCTGCTTTTTGCTTTATGCAACCGCAGAATGTGGCAGGCACGATTCGCGACAAGCACAGCAGCAACAGCAGCAGCAGCATTTATGGAAACTATTTGCTAAAGCAAACGGCATTAAAAACCAAATGCAATGCTGGGGCACATTGGCTACCAGCAGACGAGTGCCTGAAGTACAAGATGTTACGGTCTTCCCTTAACTAAAAGCAGACGGCGAGAATCGGAGCACGTTTCATGTTATGTATACAAGTGTGTATGTATGCAGGTATGTATGTATGTATGTATATATGTATGCTACACAAATAACAACAGTTGCTCCCAGGACGGCAAACTGTGGGGGCAGGTCAGAGAACGTTGCACAAATAGCAAACAAATCGCAAATTGAAATAAGTAAAGGGAAAAGATCTACTGATGATAGTCGAGTGCTAAATACCCCAGCTAACTGTTATGGTAACTTTACTTAATTTGCTTTTCTACACAATAATTCATATTAAAGAATTCATATATTCGAAATTTTTTTATATAAACCAATTCCTGAAAAACTATATATATTTATATTTTTTAAAGTCTTTTAAGAAGTGCTTGATATTATATTGATTATCAAACATATACTGCGATATAGGAACATTATAGACTTCTTTATATTCTCTTTTCTGGTTCGTACTTTTTGAGGGGCTATACCATTTTTATGTCTTTTTACAGGGTATATAAAGAACTCAGAACTGTAGCAGTAGCTCGTATAGAGTCCACCTCTCACC